GAGGGCTTAGGCAGACCACTCACAGAAAACAAGAGAAAATACACACCATTTAGATTACAAGATGAGTAGTTACAGCAAACAGAAAATTAAAGCTTCACAGAAAAACAGTAAACCAAAGACTATAGTAAACTAGTTCTACAACAGCACTATATTAGCATACTTTTTAGTTTCCATCCTTACACAGTGTTAGCACTTCTGGCAGAAAAGACCCTGCTAGACTGCCTCAAGGAAGAGGTCAGATACCAGGAACCACAAAAATGGCTCAGAATCATCAATTCTGACTTCTCAGAAATTCTATTGAACCTGCACTGCAGTCAGCAGATACATGGCTGTTTCCATGCCCCTCTCATTTACTTCATAAAAGAAAATTAAGCCCCCAAATCTGACTTCCTATAATAAGAACTAACCATGAGGGAAGCAGCTGACAAGCACCATGACAAAAAAGGGGAAGTATAAATGTAGTAGGCTTCAACACAAGCAGCAAATCCAGAAAGAACTGAAATGGTAAACAAATTCTACTTTCAATTCACTATTTTATTACACTAGAAGAAGACTGTATTATAAACACACTCTCCCACACCTGGTCTCTTGAACTACCAATGAAGTTACTTTACCTGCATCCACACAAAACTATCACAAAAATATTCACTCAGGAAGCTACTATGATAATAAGCCCAAATGCCTTAGTAATAATATTACACTTGAAAAAAGGAGGAGAAAATCTATTCTGGACATGAGAATGTATATTCAACTGAGTGTTGAATATGCCCTGAAAACATAAGTAYTGGGGAGCAAAAGGAGGCAAAAAGATGATAAAAAAGATATGATGAAGCAAGGCAAAAAATTCAGTGACCCTGCAAGTCTGTGAAGCCTTTGAAACATTAGGCTCTTTGCTGTGATGCCACATTCTGCCAATAAATAAAAAAAAAAAAAAACCCCAAGAACCCATGTGCAGATTTAGTGAGGTTTCAGGGTGTATAGAAAAGTCAAACCAGCTTGTGATGCTCTGCTACAATGATAAAGGCACAGCTACCCTACCCTAGATTGCTCCAAGCACAGCACAAAATGGAAGTGCCTGCAGTCTCTGAGCAGCTCCTTAGACAACACAAAAGCCAGAACAAGCTCATGCCAAAGATGGTTAATATGATCATACTGGATTACAGTCACTGTAGTGATATTGGACATATGTTATATTGCATGAGGCTATATGAAATTGGGCAGTAATCAGTAAAACCATTTAGTCCCTATTTTACAACTGCTTCATCAGTAGCTATAAAATAACATCCTAATAAAGAGCATAAAACTAAAAAGAACTGRGATTAACAAGGCGTGTTATGGCAGTTTAGAAGTAAAAGTCACTTCAGCAATACAGAATTGAACAACACTATTTAAAAAAATGACCAGAGAAGATTTACTATTCCATATTAAAAAAAAAGAAAAGAAAAAAAGAAAGCAGCCATTCCAAGAGCCTGGCCTAGATTTCATAGCAAATATGTCATGCTGGTAAGCAAAACACAGAGCCTCAATGCTCATCACAAAGAGCACCATATATTGGATAGCTGACTATAGCATTATCAGTCCCTAATCAGATAACCTTGCATGGACAATGCTAATCACTGAAAAGAAAGAGGGAGAAAGAAACATTAGAAAAGCTTTGGCCGATATTCAGATATGAATTTTGACTGTACAAGTAGGTATATTTATGGCAGAGTCCAAGAATGATCAGACAAGCCATTAGAGAATGAAAGCAGTTCCTTCCAAGTTGTTTTTATCAGGCTCTGAATACATCACCTCATTTTTAGTAGGGTTCTGGTATCATGTGCAGTTAATGTATAATTATTACAGAACTGTGATTGCATCATTAGCAGAAGTTTAATTATATCATTGACATTAGTGATGCCATAACATCAAGCTCAATAATAGTTCATAACAAAACCTACAATTAGCACAATTTTTCCTCCCTTTTACACCAAGCAAAAGTGTTCAGCTTGGAGAAGCCTAATAGTCCATACAGAAGCGAGCTAGGGCTGAACCTGAAAGGATTGCTGGCTGGTAATTTAGTAATATGGTAATTAAAGTCTTTTCATGATGTAATTACACATCAACTACAAAAGGACAGCTGCTATACAACACTGCCAGGGTACGTGGCATGAAATGATTAGATTTGAGAAGCTTTGGTGGATAAACTGAATACCACAGACATAAGTCTGAGATATACTGCTGGCACCACACAGTACATTATTATTCAAGTCTCACTCTTAATGTTTCCTTAGTCTCATTGTGATAGTAACAGTTTGTTGCACATACCTGTCCTCTGACAGCAGAAGCTGTTCAAAATCCACCTTTAAAAGCTTCTGCTGTTTTGAAGTTCCCTGAAGTTATAAAACCTAAACTTCTCTTGGAGAGATGCAGTATAAATGAGGTTTGCATGAACCCAAAATGTTTATTTCCCACACAAAACTTTTTCGCTTAGACTCCTATCCATGGGAAATTTAACTTGATTTATTTTCAGGATTTTTCTAGTGGGATAGCAGAGAGGGAAGAAGGAGAATGAGGAGAGGGGAAAGGCACAAATAAGTAGGTGAACTCAAAGAAACTAAGAACTAATGGTTTCGGCACTTAGTTCCAACAGCAACAAGGAGCAGTCCCCAGTTTGAGTGAAAAAACAAGCCCACCCTTCTTCTCAAGAGCAGATAAACATTTCTTTAAGTAGTTTCCTTATTGTATTTCTCACCGCCCTCCCTTTTATCTGTACAAACCACAAAGTTGACCACACGAGGCATAAGATAGCAAAAAGGAACATATTCTTCCAACTAATACAACTAAAATTGCTTGACTACATAACTGGACTCTTCAAAATAAAGGAATGCACAGCACACCCTGGCAGTGGGCAGACAACCTCAGAGCTGCTTGTCTAGTCCTAAAATGTCATTTTAGTCATGACAGCAACTTGGATGTTTCACAACAGCTGTGTTTTTTCTCTGTAAGTGGGAAAAAAAGGGGATTTGGTGGGAGAGAGACCCAGACCAACTGATCTACACTTCAAAGCTTCAAAATTTATTTTGGGCTAGGAAAGTGTAGGAATGAACTTATCTGAAAATGAAAGCCTTAGGGGTAATTCTCCTCAGCATAAGAGAGGTTTTCTGTGAGATACATTTGGAAAGTGCAAAACCAAACTATTTTGGATCTGCAGGGACTCTATTACCTACAAGATGTTAGGAATAAGAGTTTGAATCCTGGTTCAAACAATACCCAGTCTTGCTGATGACTTCCTTTCTGACTCCTGCTTTTCCTCTTTTTCTGAAAAGATGTTTTGGGTGGACATAATGAACACTCAATTCTTGAGGATTGCGTATCTTTAACTGCAGTTACACCAACAGTCTGGTACTCCAGATCACCATCAGTACGAGTGTCTTGCCCTTGGGTATCAGAAGTACAGTGGAGCTGAGGCTGCTTTTGGGGAGCACAGGAGGAATCCTGAAGGAACCAGAAGTAGCTAGTTCCAGTCATTTAAGAACCACGATCTTGGCTACTCAGAAGTAAGTCCTGCATGATCAGTTTTACAAAGCACACTTTCAAGAGACAATAAAACAAATTAGCCAACTCAAAGAAAGACTCAATTGTACTTCAAGTACAATAGCACAAGAAAACATGATTATTGCTAATTTAATGGGAGGAGAGATAGAATGTAGTTCAGCTAGTGGTTCTGATGACTAGACTGGTGATCACCTCAAACATGTTTGCACCTACCATGCAAGGACTCGCTTGGATATTTGATGCAAAAAAAAGATTCAAATATAGCACTTGTCAATAGAAACTGGGTGAGCAACTTGCAGCATACACAGCAAATCTGGCATCTTAAAAACAATCACCAACACGAAAAGAACAGGAATTTTATGCACAAAGGATTTATYTGACTTCCTACAAAGTTTAAAGCAGCAAGAGACAATGAAAAGGTTAGGTTTAAACTGCAAAACCCTTCGCTTTTGAGTGCTGTCTCTGTAAGTACGTGGGTGTACACACTCAAACATGAATTGTATGTGCACAAACCTTAAACACAAACACATAGCCATAACAGTCTTCAACTAAAGACAACATGGTTCAATACCTCTGCAGATGTTAATCACTCAGCTGTTAATGAACAGAATACAACAGCAGTTTGTATCACATGGGAACTATTCCCCCTGTCCTGTTTATGCACTGTTTATGCAGTGCACTGCCAAAAGAAACATGGGAGGTCTGAAGTCTTGCAAGAAGAACCTCACTATCTCTCTCCGACGATGGTAAGGGCAGAGAGTTAGAGAGGGGGAACATGAGAGATTTCCGGTATGCTCCTATCTTTAGCAACACCAGAAGACAAAGAAAAGCCTTCTTGTCATGAGTCTTCAAGCATCCAACTTCAAAATAAAACAGAGCAACAGCTCCTGAGCAACAACATTCAGTTCTGACAGACAAGCACATGAGCTAGAACAGGACAAAGCAAAAAAGCTGTACTGTTATAGTCTGTCTCTCTTTTCTTCCCCGATGCAAAAGTAGCAGCTATTTACTTACCATTCACTACCTTCAATTACATGAAAATCTGAAAGCCAACTGGCCTATCAAGACTAAGCCTGGCAACAGAAGCCACAGGACCTCCTACTGAACAAACACAGCCCTATCAGCTGTTCCAGACAGCCACCTTCTCAGTGTTAAACGCACAGTTCTACTACGCACCCAACATCTCTTCTGTTTCAATGGCTTTTTAGCATCTTTCCACTTCCCTGCAGCCATCAGGTCATTCAGAAACAGGACCAGAAATGTTGTCAAGTTTCCCTGACCCCAGCCACTGCTCAAGATACTGGAACTATATCCCTGGCACTTGCACCAATTTCTGTGAGAAGTGCCAAGTGTCCAGCCAAGAAACAAAACCTTCTTGCAATCCTGTTTGCAACTAAAGAACTCAGTAACACCAGGCCTGGAAGTTTGGAGTGAACGATTAGATGGGGAGACAACACACCTACCTGCTATCACCAGCATTTGCCACGTAAAGCTTCCCCAATAAATACACCACCACTAGGGCTGTGCATCCACCAGAAATGTTATACACGGTCCTCTCGCGCTCTATTTGCAAATCCTGTGGGAAAAGAGAACAACATTTATAAAGACAGCATTGCAATTAATGCTTCAGAAAATGAAGCCTCCCCTAAAAAACAAAAATACAATAGAGTATTGTTTAAATTAAACTGGCTGTCTTTTCTTGCAGCTATGGCCACATGACCTTGGAAAAGAATAGAAAGTTGAGGAGTACCTATTACTTATACAAAGATGTCTGGGAAAAATCAGGTCAGGAGACTTTAAAACATCAGGTACTAAGAAATAAATAGCAACTCTCAGGGAATTTGCTATGGCAAAAGCACAACGAAGGCAAAGATAAATGAAGCTTAACAACAGATACCTGGTGGCATAATTGGAGAGTGCTTTACACAGACAGCAAATTATTAATGAGACCCRGCTACAACACGAATAACTGCTCCCCTAGAGGATTGCTAGGATTGTGGGGTATACACCTTTAGGAACAACAGTAAGATACACTCATGCCACAAGGCTACCCTTCAGAAACAAAGATAATGAGCGTATACTAAACTGATTCGAAGTGCAAGAAATATATAAAATACATTAAAAAATTCTTCTGCTTAACAGAAGTAGAGAACACAAATCATACTTATCACCAACAATCTGTAAGTCCTGGAAAGAAAAAATAATACAAACACACACATATATACAGTGACCCAAGAAAGCTTGGAAAACATAAAGTAAATAAGTAAATGAGCTACTTTCATCCATACATTTTAAACAAACAGTGAAGCATATGCCAAGGAATTAATTCTGCTGTCAAGAGTTTAGTTTTGGTCAATAAAATGCTAAAAATTACCCTTTTCTCCTGTGTCCAGAACCAAATCCAATTTCAAACTGGCCTGTCCTTATAATAATGGATTCAAACATGGAACATCATTTAACATCACTATTGCAAGTAGCAGCAGATCTTTTCCAGCTAAATCCTAACTACTTTTATGTGGTTTTTATTATGAATATATGCTTGTCTCAGTGTCTGTGTGCAAACACAGATCTATACTTCAGCCATTTTCATATCTGCACTGAGCAACAAACAGCTCAAATTGTCCATGCCTTGAGGTATGGAATTTAGTGCTTTATTTTAGAGCCAAATTTATCTGAAGTAAAGCACTACAACAAATGCAAACCATAAGAGCTGCAATTTGATTAAAAATCTGCAGAGGTGGGAGGAGTTGCCTGTCCCACTCTTTGTCTTCTACAAATTTCAAGGGAGGGAGGTGACCTGGGGCAGCATAAGGATGCTCAGCAGTGCTTGGGCACTGTCCTGAGCAGGTGAGCAGCAGTGTCTGTCACAAATAACGTGACTCCTTGCTGGCCAATGCACGTACACCCCATTTGTGCCATGACCACGGTGCTGAGGTGCTGTTCCAATGGGCCATCCTCAGCTGTGCATGGAAACTGCAGGTGGCTGCCACAGGGACAAGAGTTCTACTGCACTCACTGATTTTTTTGGGGGGGCATGGGCAGTGGGGGTGGTGAGGACCAGGAGGAAAACACCTCCAAGCTATTCTTGCAGAACTCTGGTCACAGATATGAGCCTGTTATAAATGCCTCTTTATCTAATCTTGCCATAGAGAAACTGATTCTCCTTCCAATGGTTTCTATATATTTTTAAAATTAAGCTGTAAAGCAGAGTTCAAAGGAAGCATATGTTTCCAACCATCAAAATAATTTAAATTTACAAATACTACAGCGGATTTTCCAAGCACTGCCAGGAATTTTAAGAAACTTTCATCTCCACAGTTCAGAATATCCTCTGAGACCTTCAAACAATGTACAATTCCTGGTTTTAGCTCTGTCATGCATATACTTTGCAGGTGCTGGAATGCCTAAATTAAAATTTATTTCTTCCAATAAGCAGAATTCATAAGCATCTATTACAGGAGAGAAGATGGATCACCCTTAAGGCCTTTTTTTCAGAATTTCCTTGACTTAAACTAGATCTGTGTGCTGTGTTTTCTCAAATCATTGCTGTTCCTGGGCTCCTCCATCTAGAACTTCAATTTACTACCATGGCTTGTCAGAGTTCATTCAGTGTCATGTTTAATTCAACATCACATACTGTGCTTGACATTTTCTTTTTCAGCAGCAAGGAAAGAGGGCAAGGCTTTCCTATGGCTCAACAAGAGGGGGAAAAATAAAGCAAAATAAAATAAAGCCCACTAACACCACCAACTCATTATGATGTAGAGACATCGACTTTTAACGAAATACTTTACAACACCCGTGCTGGGCAAGCAGTACAAACATGGGCAGAAGCCCCAAAATGCCTCTAAAGCCTTTTTGAGTGTAAAGGGGGTCATTCCAGACAGAGCATATACAAAGCTTTCCTCATTTTCCACCGGGAGAATGATTTCAGAACAAGCTATTTTTTTTTTTTTCCCAAAGAAAAAGCTAATTTAGTCGGAGCTCTGCCCTCCGTGMCGGGACACGTGCCGTAGCGGGTGGCAGGTGGTCCCACGGGCTGCCGCAGGCCTGGTCCCCCTTCCCTGGCGCGGGAYGCGGGACGGCGGAGCACAGCCTGCAGAGGACACCGACACGACCGAGCAGCTGAGGGCGGGCAGGGAGGCTTTCTGCACCGAGCCCGGCAGCGGCGAGGCGGCGGGGCACCCGCGGGCAGGGCCAGGCTCGGGCCGGGCTCCCGGGCGGGTCCCCACACGGCCTGAGCCCCCCCGGAGTGCGCGGCAGCCGCGGGCCCGGCACGGGCGGCTCCTGCCCCCTGGCGGACAATGCGCGCAGCGCCGCCGCTCCCCCGCGCGGAYCCGCGAGATCGGCCACTCCAACCCCTGACGAGACAGCGTCACCTACAGCAGGGGACACAGGAACCAGCTGGGTTTGCAATGGCAACAGAGAGGGAGACTCCATACCCTCCCTGGGCAGTCTGTTGCAGTGCTCTGCCACCCTCAGCTTGAGGTGAAACTTCTTGTGGTTTAGCTTATGGCCATTGCTGCTCATCCTGTTGCTGGGCAGCAATAAAAAGAGCCCGGCACCCCCTCTTGACAGCTGCCTTTGAGATATTGATGTGCATTACAGAGATCCCCTCTCAGCCTTCTCCAGACTAAACAGGCCCAGCTCCCTCAATCTCCCCTCGTAAGAGAGATGCTCCAGCCCCTCAATCATCTTTGTTGGTCTCTGCTGGACCCTCTCCAGTAGCTCCTTCTCTTTCCTGAGGAGCCCAGAGCTGGACACAGCGCTCCAGATGTGGCCTCGCTAGGGCCAAGAAAAGGGGGAGGATCACCTCCCTCAACCTGTTGGCCACACTCTACCCACACTCTTTTCACCTATATTTATCCTCAGGGCAGGGGCCTTTCCTCCAGGATCTGAATCTTGCTATGACAGAAAGCAACTTTACACACACAGGATTAGGTATCTGCTTTAAAAAAAGTTTCAGAAGGCATAAACATAGAATTAATTCCTTAGCATGTTTTACATCAAATGCCTGGAATGCTGTTTAAACTCTCATTTCTACTGGCTATACAATGAGGGGAAGCTTTAAAAAAAAAATATACAACACGTACCGCTCTCTCAGGACTGTTCAATTATTAAAACAGCACCAATCAAAAATAAGCACCTGTCTAAATTTYATCTAAGTCCAAAAAAATCTCAACAAAGGAGATCATGACACAATGAATGCAAACATATATCTTGCAATAAATTATACAGACCAGTTCTGTGCCATTTTTTCCCATTTAAAATGAAGTGGGGTTCAGTGTGGAATAATTGCTCACTCGCCTTAAACATTCTTTAAAATACAAAATCACACACAAGGATTACAGGGAATACAGGGAAAGGACTGTAACTTGATGTTTCTATCCAATATGGAACTGCACGTAGAAGCATTCTTTCTAGCTCCTTTGAACTGAATCTATAAATGCACATCTTAAAACTCAACAGATGAAAATTAAAGGATTTATTTGACTTATGACACCTTCAAAACTTGACTTTATTTATTTCCTTTTAACTGGAACAATTGTGATACTGACTATTACTGACATTTACTGTTTTATGGACAGGGCACTAAATTATCTGAAAACACACACAAATTTGCTAATCCTAGTTCCAACACAGAAAACACCATTCAGACGTACTTCAAAATGGAGACAGTTTAATTGTTAAATGTCTAAGTTAAGCAATTTGATCTGTGTCAGCTTTCCATAGTGTTTTACTTCATCTAGCTGTTAGACAAGAATTGTCCAAATAAAATCATACTGAATAAAGGAAAAACAGCTTTTAAAAGCCTTTTGAAAGTYCTTAACTAGAATTCAAAAGGAAGTTGGGGAAAAAATAATGGTATACTAAATGTTCCCAGGAAAAGGTTACAAAGCCATCATTAGATAAACCTGTCAGGCTGGACTCTTTAAAAAATAGTATCTTTATCTATTCATTATTTTCACTGGGTTCATAAGACTCCTTTGAAGCAATGGGTGTTTCAGGAGAAACCACGGAGAGGTCTGCCAGTGTGTCCAGGAAACCTGAGCTTTCACCAATGTGCCAGGTAAACTGATACACTCTGCTGGCACAAAACCCTTGTACATTCTGCACATCTTGACTGCACTGACCTGACTCAAAAACACCCATGATGTTCCAGTGTAAACAAGGGCTGATTAAACAATGTGCTGCAGAAGAGGCCCAAAGTCTTCATGCAAAGACTAACAGGAGAATAAGCTAGCAGGAAGTTTAACAGAGGCAGGAGGAAGCTCAAGCACTGCAAGCACAGAATTCATTGATTTTATGAATCGCTCCCTTACACAGATGAAAGAAAACACTCTTTTGCCTAAACTAATTATAAGTGCAAGATTTCCCCCAGAGCTTGAAGTATATACAGTTATCTATTGCTTTCCTTAATCTGATCTTTTTTTTCATAAGATTTCTTGTAAAACCTAATGCTGAAATTTTGTTACATTGTAGTAGTCATTTGTTTACCAAAGACAGATGATGAACTTCAGCACTCTAATATAAAGCAAGGGGGAATTAAGACATAGGATCTGCAGCATATGAACGACACAGGGAGGATGGTGTTCTGTTTAGTTCAGTTTAGAAACACGGAGAGCAGATTACCATGAGCTATACAAGGCACACTTCAACACTGTAACTGCAGTGAGTTACAGAGTTTCTGCATTTGTCAAACTCTATCCACAAAAGCCCTCACAACCAGTCAGATCTCTGAACATGAGCTGAGATGGTCTTCTGTGTAAGCACCTACCAGAGACCTGAAGGCAAAACAAAGCAGGGCAAAACCAGCCCTGCTCACTCAGACACATTCAGGAAGGCAGTGATGGCTAACGCACACACTGCTCTCTTAAGAGGTAGAGCACTTGAAACAGCTCTTCTATACTCATACCTTCATTGCCCAGTCCCATGAAACTCCATTTCTCATCCCTCCTGCACTTGGAGACAGTTTCAACAGGAGAGAATCACCTGACGCCCTCAGAGCCTGGCACTCCTCTGGCCTCAAAATTACATCAACTGAAAAGCATGAAATTGGTGTCCCTCTTAAGCATGCTCTGAATCCACTACGGTGCAGTGGATGGGCACAGTCATCTTCTCCCTCATTTCTCCACAAAGAAGGGAGAGATCTAGTTCGCCCTTTCTGAAAAGGTGTGCTAAACTGACAAATTTTCATGCGTCCTCCTCTTTCTTTTTATCTAGCAGAAACTGAGCCCACTACCCATACGTGCACAAATCTGCAGTCAGATTGAAGCCCCCCACTGAAGCATGCCTAAGCCATGGCTGTGCATCCTGCTCCTGGGTCTGCTTGCCGGCCTTCTTCCTTGGAAAGAAAGAATAATCCTATGAAAAATAATTGTTATTCAGAACTCAGAGTGAAGTACTACTTGTAAGAAGAACTGTGGTCTCTAATTAAATGCATGTACTGAACAACATTCACATATATCAGGAGAAACAATGATCAGATGTTTCTTTCCAGAYAACAAATAAAACCACAGGGAAACACTGAACAGTTCACAGTCCTCCTTTTCAATTAAGAGGCGTTTCTGAAAACTACAGCAACAAAATTCAGAAAAAAAAAGAACAGTATCAGACCTCCCAAGATTTGATCCACATGTACTCACTGGCAGGCCAAGCCTCTGCTCTGACTGACAAGAATGACTTATAATAACGTGGAGAAAGGGGAAGATGTGGAGGAGCTACATCAAGTACAGAAGAGAAAGAAGTGCATCCATAGGGAAATAGATGGATATTCTGTTTCCATAGGGTTATGACTTCCTGACAGTTGCTCATGGTGTACACAAGTCGAGTGAGTGGTAGGAATGTACATCATGCTCCCCTCAGCCACAAAATCTGCCTCAGTGAAGAGCTGCACACACTCTACAGTCACTACTCCAACACCAATGTGAACTAACCGAGCAGCCTTTGCAGCTGCTCTGGTAGGGGAACAAGGCTTCGTAAAGTGCATGCCCACATATACTCAGCCTGATAATAACTGCCAATGCTGGAATCTGCACTGTACGGCAATACTAATCTTTATCTTAAAAAAAAGAAGGGGGAGAAAGAAATTAAAAAGAAGAGTATCATACATCTAAAAGTCAGTGTAATTCATAAACATTGCCACAGTGTTACCTGGGTATTCAGCTCCTGCCTCACAGCCTCACAGGGATGTACCTAGTAAGCTTTTGAGGCTCATACACAGTTCTGTTCACATTTAGATGGTGTTAAAGCAATAAAAGGAAAAAAAAGAAAAAAACACACAAAAAAAAATCTAGATCTTCATCTTTTCCAGGTCATGTGACTCAATGTAAGCAACAAGGACTTCAGAACCCTGAGACATACATACCATTTCCTTGAATGCACTTTCTATGGCCCCAATAACCAGGCACTCATGTGGGATCTTCTTCTCAGTGAAGAAGCGTGTTGGAGGGGTGCTGGGTGAGCCTGGGGCTCCCACACCACCACGCAGGGAGGCCGCCCGTGTCAGTGTCCTGCTGTTGGTGGACGGGTTGTCAGGCTCCTCTCCCAGGCAGGTGGGCGGGAGGACAGCTGTGTTCCTCAGGATGTCCACAATCTCCTGAAGCTGCTCCAGGATATGGTGCTGCAGCAGTTTGGAAGCGACCACAGCTGCCCCCGACCCAGCGTGTCCATCAAACAAGGACCAGTAGTACAGGCTGATTCCATCTGAGTCCTGGAGAAACAAGAGAAGGAAAGAAAGGGAASGAAAAGACATAGTCATTGTTACAGAGTTGTGAGCCAGGTGACTGGTTGCACAGAGGCAGCAGGTGAAACATAGGAAACCTTCCCAGAGGTGCCATTCTTTCTGAAATGCAGAAATACCTACAGCATCATTAGAACTCTGGTTGAAAGAAGAGATGCTTTTTTTTGCCACACATCCCCACCATGTTTTTTATTTTCCTTAGCCTCTTAAAAAAAAAAAAAAAAAAAAAAAGCCCAAGGTAAAAAAAAAAAAAGGCTGAGCTTACAATCTTTCTTACCTTACAGCCATCTAGGTTGTAGAATAATAATATTTGAATAAATGATAGACCTACCACCATGAAAGATCAAAATTCCACAAAAAGCAACACCTGATGCTTCTGTGACAGACCTTTTTTTTTCACTAGACATGAGACCAAGGACCTCAGTTTGACATCCAGCAACAAGATGCAAACCCCACTTCCATAATTGGTAGATAAGGTCCACCCGTGCTAGCAGATGGGACAACTCAGGTTTTCCCTGCCTATGCCAGCCCAGGAAACAGCACCAGCACAGAGGTCCTTGAGAATGACAGACACAAGTGGCATCAGCTGCATTTCACCTGTTCCAACCTACATGCTCACTGCCTAGTTCTTCACAGTCCCCTAAAAAACTTCCTGTCTAGTACTGAAGATGGTGGGGTACCCGATCACTTAGGGCATTAACCCAGGGCTRGAGGCAGAGTAGCATCACAAGCTCCTATACACCTGGAAAATATGAAGGATCCATAGTCTTGATAACCTCAACTCTTTTGRGAAAGAGAAATTCACCTAGAAATCCTCAGGTAAGCATTTAAGGCATGATGATACCTATCTTTGTATCACAGCATATTTTGCAGCAGCATGTGGAGTCTTTTCCTTTCCCCTCCATTTCTTTTAATGSTGCACCTTGTCTCAGCTATGCAGAAAGAACTGTTAGTGAGGCTGCCTTGCAAGGCGGATGTGGGTGAACTAATACAGATTTAGAAAGAAACCATTTTACAAGGAACAGGAATAAGGCTATACTGTTGTAAAATACCTTGTATTAAGAAAGCATAACCTAGATCTCACTGCAGTCAAAGAACTTCAAAATTACATCTGCATGTTGCACTGACTGTGGTCTAGTTTAGCATGACAGAGGTGATTTGTTTTGTTCACCCAAATACTGCTCCCTTACACTACAGATGAGCACAAAGTCTGAGCACCTCCTGCATGCCAGCACCTCATGCCCAAAGCGCTGCCAATTTCAAATTTATGGACAGGGCTGTTAACTGCAGCTCCTTTTATTTCTGCTGTTCCAGCAGCTCCACTTAGGTACCATGATCATAAAAATTGCATGAAAGTCAAGGGGTTTTTTTTTGCTTACAGCATTGCTGATGTGGTAAAGTTCAAACATATTCTTAACCAAAGCATCAGCAGCAGTCATCTAYGCAGCAGAGAGCTCCTCCAAGAGGAGGAATTCATCAATTGATCAGTCTCTCATTCACTCTTCATTTTATTACTGAAATGCTGTGATAAGGGAGTATTGTCCTAAAGTACTGTTTTACTTACACAGTAAGGTTCGTACAGGATGCATCCTAGAATGGCAGAAAAACCAACATGTGTCCACATTTCTGAACAYGGTTCCTTAGCTAGACACACTCTTTCCCCCTCCCCTTACCCAGCCTGGCAAATTAATCAAAAAACTGTTGCAAAACTTGCCCCTGATGGCAGGACTGGCAGTTGTACTACCTTGCTCTGGGCACTGAATCCCCAGAAGTTCACACAACAGTTGGCTGTAAAATTCTGCGTAAGTAATTTTTAATGGCTAACARKATTAGCAATTTAAAAACCTGCTTGTAAAAATACATTGCTACTCGTGTAAAATGCAAAGTATTTTGCCAACAGAAACAAGTTTTCCAAAGTGAAAGTATTTCAACTGAAAACTGAAACTATTTATACAAAATGACAACACTGTGCCTCCTCAGTATTGTATATCAAACCACTTGTGCTCCCATTCTTAAAGAGTTTGTTTCCATGGCCAAAATCCATGGTATGATGCACCATGGATAATGCTTCCACAGCTTTCGTCCTCATGTCCTTTGGTGCTACTCCTTTGGAAATGTGCTGTCTTTCGGGAAAAATCCTCAAAGGCGTTTCAGCTGTGATTGATATTGAAATATCTTACCTTCCACCAAAAGGAAGAAGATATTTTGTCATTGTTCTCCCCTTGCCCCCAAACTGGAACAGAAACTTCCAATTAAGAATAAGTTTGATCTGCACTCCATTTCCTTAAGTTCCTCCAAAGCAACCTCCCAGCAAAGTTTGTGTTACAGCTTTTCAGAAAATAAAGGAGAACAGGTATTAACATTTTACTCCCATTATTATGATCTCAGGTCTGGACATGTCCTGCATTGAACAAGCCTCATGTGAGTTTGGGATTTAAATAAAGGAAAGACTGGRATGCTTTAGAACAGATGGAACAACAGCCCATGACAAAAAGTGAAATTGAAATGCTACCAGTTATTTCCTCTGAGCCAATGGGCAGCACAGATTTGGACAGAGAAATTCACATGGCCTGAGCTGTATCATCAGATTGTCACTGCCACATCACCTATGGGTGTTCACTGATCTTGTCTTTTCAGACTAGCAATTCTTGAACAAAGAAGATGTTGTTACCAGTTCAGCTAAATTCAGACATCTACAATGCACACCACCAAGACAGTTCTCTGTCTTATATTGGGCAGAGAGAAAAACCCCTGCATTTTCAGACTCTGCTCATCTCATACCCAAGTAGAATTATTTCTTTCTAGCAACAGTAGAAGCACCCTCAATAACTGGAAATACATAAGCACTTGGGRGAGATAACTACTGTAATGCTGCTCTCACACAGACATTTTGTGTGAGATGCTCTAGGGGCTTAACTTCAGTTGGGAACTGCAGGCATTACTGTAAACTAAATATTAGCCTTGAAAAACTTCTGTGTATTCCTGCAAAGCTTCATTTACTTTTGAACTAGCAAAGAGGAAAACCATGGATAACCTATTAGCTGTCTGAAAAAGGAAGAAAAAAACAAACTCCCTGTCCCCACCCTCAGAATAAGAACTGCTCCTCTATTTGAAAGAAATTAATTCCCCAAACCCACACCAATTCAATGAGAAATAAAAATACAATGCAATTAAAGCAGTGACTCAGAGAACAAACAAGGGCAGGTAGTCAAGGCCCACAGATGAGGCAAAATGCACAGAAAGGTTCTTTCTTGCCTTTCCTTGCAKAGCTGAGATGACCTCTGCAGCCACCAACTGACGACCTGTTTTGGTGTGCATATGCATTGCTGTTCTCTCTCTTTTACATTTGGAAGCTTGAACTTCTTCCCAGAAAGAACTGACATTCTGCAAACTCAGAGAACAAGACATCTATTTTTACTAGCACTGGCAGTAAAAGGTAGAGGTAGTCTTTCAAACACCAATCTTCAGTTCTTCTTTTAACTGGACAGAATCTGCAAATAGGAGTGTGGTCAGTCACCACAGTAATTTATTTCAGATTTTCATTCAAAAGATTCCAATCTAACAACAGGCTGAATAGCTACCAGAAACATGAAGAGAAAACAAATCCTTCACTGTATTGGCCTTACAATTCATTTCCACAATGTACTAGGAAATTTAATAACCTCCAGGTTCCTCAACTGCTGACCTAGCTGATGAGAAATCATGAGAGAAATTGCATATATATATACACACATAATTTGAGCTCAATGATCTGAAGGAAAAAAAAAAAAAAAA